AAATTTGCTTTTAGTAGTTTAGATTAGAAGTGGAGAAACTTTTACAAACCATTATTTTTCAATTGACCATAAAGAATGGCTGCTCGTGGCTAAGGATCATTAGCCGCAAAACAATTAAGACTATAGCATAAATTACCGACAATTTGCTAATTGCTACTAAATAATGGTTGCTAAAAGCTCTTTTTGTAGTAGTGCTAGAGATACGAAGAAGGATGTGGAAGTGATTCCCACATCTTCTACTGATATCTGGAGAATCGAGGTAGAGTATTTGAAAGATGAGGCGGAGAAGAAGAAGAAGGGAGCCCCTGTGGACTCTTCCCTGGTTGTGGACACAGACTCATTACCTGCAGAGGCACTTTTGCCTACTCCGGCCTCCGGGCCTTCAGGTACTTCCAGTGTTGTTCTTTCTGACACCCCTAGTTCCTCTACTGCTACATTGCCTCCTAGAGCTCCTGCTATTGCTGTTACCCTGCCCCTGCTCATTCCGGATGGGGCAGCTTGCCCATTCTACCGATCACCGTGCCGCCAAACTTGAGGCCTCCATACTGGGCATGATTCAGACAACCCTTACTGATGCTGTGACACCATTGAGTGCTACCATTGATGCCCTCGCGGCTAGGATAACGAGCGTGGCCAATGGGCCACCGATGAGGTAACGACTCTAAAGGCCGCCATTGCTGCACTGAGGAGAGATATGGACCAGCTGAAGTCCACCGACATGTCCATGATTTTCGGGACGGTGGAGATCCCAGATGTGCCAGTCGAGCCAGATATGCCTCCGACTACCACCAGAGATGATGTTAGAGTTGAGGAGGCAACTGATCCTGAGTCTGAGGCTGAGACGGATGATGAGATGCTTGGGGTTGCTGAGGAGGCTTCTTACGAGAGCCTTACTGAGACTGAGGAAACCATGGTAGATGTAGCTGTGCAAGATTCTTTGGCAGATACACCCTTGGCTGGCCCTAGTGGAGCTGGTGGCACAGTTGATGTGACTCCGGGCACTGATGCCCAAGTTCAGTGCACTATACCGGGAACTGATGCCCAGATGGATGAAGCGACTGTTTAGACAGGATCCCTCTTTACCTCCCTCTCTGTCTTATTTATTTGACTTTTGGATATTTTATTATTTGCATTTGAGGACAAATAACTTTTGTTTGTGGTGGGGTGAGGCCCACCTTGTGTGATTATTGTTCTATTTATATATTTAGGTTTTTGAGCTATATATTGTGTTTAGCACTATATTTTGTGGATGATTGAGCTTGTAGCTCCTTGTTTTAATTGTAAATAATTTTTGACCCTTCTGAAAATTTTTGTGCCACCTCTTGTTTGTATTTGAATGTGGTTGTTCTCTTGCAAATTTGAGTATTGATCTTGATCAATACCGATGACTTGATAGTGCTCATAATCGAACAAAAATGAATGTGTGGCCACGATGAGACCAAATGAAGTTTTATAGGCAATATGTGAACTTTTTGCATCTCGTTGTGACTAGCCAATTTTCAAATTGAGTCTCTTGTGATGAACATTGCACACTAGAGAAAGTGTGGAGTCTTGTGTGACATTGGTATCAATGCCTTGTATGATGAGCTTACCGTGAACTATGTGTGATGACACCTAGAATTTGCCCTGTTGGTCCGGTTGACTAAGTGATGCAATCTCTTGAAATGATCTTAGGAAACTTTGAAGAGTGTGAAACCATTTGATATTATACCTATTTTTGTGTCCTACCTTGTGAGTGTGTGAACTTCGCTTGAACACCTTTTGAGCCTTCCCATTTTCTTGGAAGAAACTTGATGAAATTGTGACCTTTCTTGATCCATTACCCTTAATCCTCATGACTTGTGGTTTGTTTGAATAGCCAACTTAGACCAAAAGCCTAAGTTGGGGGTGTGGTGAAAAGAGAAGGTAAATCAAGAAAGGAAAAAAAGTCCCCTTGACCCATGGTTTTGAGAAAGATGAAACCCTTCCATACAAAAAAAAAGAAGAGAAAAAGAAGAAAAGAATGAAAAAGAAAAAGAATGAAAAAGTTGTGGAATAAAGTTGTGAAAATGCAAAAAGAAATGGGGTGTCCAAGAGTCTATGGAAAATGAATAATTGGGTGACTTTTGAGCATGAATGAGAATGAGAAAGAGAAGGGAAGAAAGTATTGTTCACACCACATTTCATGAGGATTACAACCATTGAACCTAAATGGCCATACCTTTGCACTCAACCCCGTTACAAGCCTTGAAAAAACCTTTTTTTATCTTGAGTGAGCTGAAACAATTGTTGATTGGAAAATAAGGGCAAACCTATGGGTGGAGTCATGCATTGTTTTCATCTTTTTGAGTGTGAGTGTTGATTGTGATTCCGGAGCTATAACTTGTTGAACTATTGTGTGTGAATATGGAATCATTCTTTGTGTGAGGGCGTTTGAGTACCTTTGTTGAGCTTGAACTTGCATTTGAAGCAATTATTGTGTACTTGAGATTCTTTGATAATGATGAGTCACAACTTGAATCTTTGAGTGCACAATTGATCCTTGCATGAGTAGGTTGAGTCTTTTTGTGTGCATTACACGATTGAGTCTTGTGTAGCACAGTTTGAGACATTCCTTTTTGAACTACTGAACTTTGAGTTTTACTTGAGGACAAGCAAAAGTTAAAGTTGGGGTGTTGATGAGTCCATGATTTGGACTCATTTTAGGGCTTTATTTGGATAGATTTAGTGTCCTCAAATACTTATTTTGTGCCAATAACTGATGTAAAATCATTGTTTTCTAGGTATTTGGATTGAGGAACAAAGCATAGACACTAACGAGTAAAAAGGAACAAGGCAGCTGAAAGAACGAAGAAAAGAAGGCATGTTGATCGCCTAATCCATTGGGCGAATCGCCGAGTGGCTATTACCTTGCCTGAAGTTCCAGTGTACCAAGCCCTGAAGGATAAATCAAGTCGGCGAGAGAAAGGATCAGTCACTGAGTCGCCGAATGCTTCCGTGATGCAGTGTTTGATCGCCCAAAGTTACAGAACTTGAGGATGCTGAAGGCCAAAGAAAAAAGTCGATGAAACTGCCCAAAAGGGCGGATCGTCGAGTTGATCGGCGATCCCAACTTACTGCGTCGAATGGCCCTTCGCATCATATTTTTGACGACTATAAATACATTTTCAAACATTATATTTAGTATCAAATTTCATTCTAAACAGTCATTAGAGTAATTTTTGTGTTTGAACTAAGAGTATTGAGACTAAACTTTTCCTTAGCTTTGATGAATTGAAGTTTTCCATTTTTGAGAAATTGGAAGTAGGTCATTGAGATTCTTCAATTTGGACCTTTGTAAAGACGAAATTAATCTTACCAGTTTATTGAAACACAATTTGGTAATAATTGCAACTACCCATTTGTCTACCTTAGCCTATAATCCAATTACATCCTAAGAACCCGTCTGATTACTTGTTAATTTGTGTTATTTGCTGTTGTCTTAGTTAATAATTGGAATCAAAACCCCCCATGTTATTTGACACTTGTGTCCCCCTTAATTTGAATAATGTTTTTATTCGTAAATATCTATTCCTATGATTGACTTGAACATATTCAAACTTTGCTCTTGATTCTCAAACACGTACCACTTCCTGTGGGATTCGACCCCAACTCATTTAGTTGGGTTATATGCTGACTAACGATTCTTGACTCTTAGAACTTGATTAAGTGTCTTTGATAGCGTTATTCAATCACTTATGCTTATAACCTATGTCTTATTATGATGTATCTTATGTTCATGACTCATGTTATTGTCTCTTATGATTATGGTATATGTCTTATGTTGACTAATGCCTCTTATATGCTTATGTTGATGCTTTATGATAGCCATCATATTTAGTACATTATTGTACTAACACATACTTTTGCCTACATTCTTATCAAATATAGGGTTTGGCGATATTGACTTCCATCCTCATGGCTAGGTTCATAGTAGATCAAGAAGAGAAGTTTTGGTGAGTCCTCATACCATCGAGGACTTGATCACCCTTTTCTTTTTATGTCTTTCTTTTATGTTTAGAACTTTTGTATGTGTTGTGTCCCTAAGACTTTCATGTATTAGATGGTTTGAGACAATGTTAAAGACTTCCGCTTCATTTTATGAGACTTCGATTGTTATGAAAAAATGTTTTAAATTTCCATACTTTTCTATTATCTTATGTTATGATATGGTAAGGGGCTTATATGAGACCCCTTCAGGGTGGAGTACACCATGTTACATCTAGAGGGTACCCCTGGGTGGTGACAATTCAGATACTAATCCAAGCGTAAACATCATAGAGTAGCTCATCAAATCTTGAATCAAGTCTATGCGAGAAAACCTTTCACCAAACAATGATCCCACTACAACATTTTATGCCTTCAACCACCTTTGAAAAGTGTGGCCTAAACTATAAAAAAAATGTAGCCTCTGATCAAAGGCCATATTTTTCAACTTTAGGCTACACTTTTCTGGGGGTGGCCTAAAGCAGCGTAACCTTAGACTTTAGGCCACGCTTTTCAAGTGTTGTCTTATCGGCTACACTTCAAAAGTGTGGCCTATAATGTAAAAAGGTCACGCTTTGCATTACCTCTTATAGCAACATTTCTATCTCCTATAACTACACTTTTAAGCGTAGCTTTTACTTCCTTATTGGCTACACTTCTGAAGCGTGGCATTTTCTAGCTTATCTACAACAACACTTTGAAGTGTAATCTTTGCCAATATACGTATGACGATTTCCAATTAATAAGCTACACAATTAGCGTCCCTATGGAAACACCTTTGAAGGGTTGCAATGTTATTTTGGCTATAAAAATATTTAGAATGCCAAAAAGTTTTAATTGAAAAATGAGAATATGTTGTACAATAAATAAGCATTAAATTAGCTAATAAATAACTCAAATGTACAGATTTGCAATAAACATAAAAAAAAAACAATTTTTCTTGTACTACACATACTTATAAAGCAATACTTTATGTACTACCAATTAATTTCACAAAACCAAATATATTATATTCAAACTTATACTTCAAAAACTCTTCATCATCTTCCTCAATCAATCAAATTGATTGCCGACACTTTCCTACACATTCAAAATAAAATTAAAAATCAGAAACAAACCATGTTCAACAAATCAAACATTAGAAAGAAACCATGTTCATTGTTTTCATCTTCTATATACTCATTATAAAAATGACTTAGTTAAAGAGGTTTAGAAGGTAATCACTCACCCGCCTTTGAGTTCAGCCCTCATGCTAGAGGAGTATTTCTCAGATGTTTTCTGAAGGAACAAGTAACAGAAACACAATCAGTTTATTATTCTCTTTCGCTAGTAAATCAAGTTTCAGTTAAAGAGAACACGGAGAGGGTGGAGCAAGAAACCAAGAAGACTTAATATAGAGTAAATTGGTTACCTGCTTATGGTAGCTGCAATATGTTCCACGCAGTCTGCAAATGTTCTCAAACCATAAGTTTTATCACTAGGAGTACAACAACAAAAATGAGTTTCCATAGGCTTAATACTATTGGGTAAGCAGCAACCATAGTTAATGATAATTTGCATAAACAACTATTGTATGTAAACATCACCGTATCACTCCTGTAAAGGGAAAGCCTATTACTTTTGTACACAATTTGATCAAGCAATTACAGTAGCTACTATATAGGGATGGCTAGCTAGTTCACAAGATTACACTTTTGATTCTTCAGCTCTTGCCATGGGAAGGAGGACTACAATGTAGATTTGAGACACCAATTTTCATATTGTTAAACTAAAAAATCTATTCCAAATCAAAACAAACTGAATTAAAAGCAACATTAATGACTGGATGATGAAATTATCATCGTTAAAGAAAATCAAAACCAAACAACATGAATGCTATTGAAGAAAACAGAGCTCAGGTTCAATGGAAGATTCGGAATAATCGAAACACTTTATCACATGATGACCACTGAACAAAATTTGCCTGCTCTGCATAGTCAGTGAAATTGGCGGGAATCGCAAAAGAAATATCATTCTATGGGCCTTCATCTCACCTGTTCCTCTGACATGTAGAAAACTAACCAGCAACGGTGATACCATGCACGATAATTCATCTTTGTTCTCTGTAACAGCAACAAGAGTCAACTTAGATCATCTTTTTAAAAATAAATAAATCATGTATATATTATGGCACCAGTTAAGAACAACTGAGACAATAATACATCCAAGTCATTCAACTATTTAAGCTAACCTTGTTGAACCAGTGACCTAGTTCCCAATTTTGAAGTTTCAAAGGGAAAATGACTGCCTTTTAATTAAATGACATATGGTTTAGATCAAATCAGATAATGACAGTGAAGCTGCTATACTTAATTTCCCCTTAATGAATCAAAATACATGGCTAAAGTGAGGTATTTCCTTCTTGGGCCAATAAACCTACTCTATCTTCTATTTATAATAAAATGCCGTACAGACTTACACTGCCAAATAGTGTTTTTGCAGTTTTGCTAAAAAAGGTTAGTTCTATTGCCAGATTGCCATGAAATAATATAAACAACAGATAAAGTACCAAATCAGAATTATGATAAGAAACTAGATTCATTTCTTAATAGAAAAAGTTTTCCTTATCCCTAGGGGGATGTGGTTGTGTTGTTGAGGCATGGGAGTAAAAACTTGAAGATTCCAGGTGAAAACATGGTGAAATCAACCTGGCGATATAACTCTCAAATGGTGATCAGCCAATAGGCAATAGATATTCATTAGTTTATAGTATAATCCAAAATAAGACCTCTGCTAGTCTTTTCACCTACTCGGATTCTCTTTCCATAATCTCTTGCTTTACAAATGGTTGCACGACAAAATTTACCACCATAAAACAGCTAGAATGATGTTATTCGACAATATGAAAGGGCAACAAATTATCAGAAAGCAGAGGAAGTGGTTTTGGCGGCGAGAACGGTCTGCGTGTATGAGCATTAGAGGAGCAATCATCGATAAACCACTACAAAAGATAGTGAATACCTTTAGGAACTACACTTGCAGCACAATGCTTATTCATCAGCTCTGCAAATTTTAACTTTCTGGTGTTCTATTCTGATCTCTTTCTCTGGAAATAAAAAAATGCAAATATTGTGAAACAAAGTTTAGCTAAGAGGGTACATACACTTCATCACAAAGCAACTTCATTCAGAGCATCTCATAAAATTCACTTTGGAACATTAACCACAAAATCTAGCTCAAAAAGCCATCGCTGCTTGCAACACATCAAGTTCATCTTCTTCAGTTGTATGCTTCTAAGGAATGTGCCGAGCAGGTTGCTTCCCTGCAGGAACATGGACTGGAGCAGCAGGAACTGTAGATGCTGGTTGAAGCAGCTGTTATTCTAATTCTTTAAGTTCTGCCTCTAATTCATCCTGTAACAACACCATGCCAGAACTAGCAGAAATACATATGCATTTTACGTGATAAAATATTGCTTAATATAGACAACATACAAGCTCTTAAAATCAGGTTTAGTTGAAGAAAATTCAAATATATGACAATAAATGAAGAAAAACACTACTCCAACGTAAGAATTTTAACAGTGTCAAAAATAAGAATGTTGCCAGTACCTAATATAACATATATAAACAAACCTCTCCAATGAATGGATCTGATGTCGTGTTGGTATGCTTAGAAAGATAGATCTTGAAACACTTTTATTTTGTTCTTGTCAGGACCTTGCCGGTGACGCTTGGAGTTTTGGCAGCAATTACCACCAATGCAGTCAATCTAGAAAGATGTCCATTGGAATTGTAATAGATTCAGTTTCAAAATGCAGAACTCAAAAAGTAAAGCAAGCTGAAGATAAGACTCACTTGGCAGCAATTAAAACTTCTAGCAAAGACATATCTGTTGACGATGGGACAACAATGGCTCAGAAAACTTCAAGCAAGGGGAATTTTACGAATGACAGAAACATGAAGGAATTAGCGAGCACTTCTGCTTTGAGAAATCAAAGAGAGCCCACAAAGAAGCAGACATCTCCTTGGATATCCACTAAAACCGTCCACCATGAACCAACTTCAGAGGCAGATACTTAAGTAGACAAACCTTCAATTGCACAGGGTGTAGTTGAGATGTGCAACACATCACACAAAATGGAAGTAGGACCAACAAAGTGTTTCTTAACCCAGACAAGGACTTTGCAGTTTGACAAATCCAAGCAGGCAAATGAGGATGCTTCTATAGAGATAAGGGGAAATATGAATTCAAGGTTTCTCTAGAATACATGCCTGAGAAAGAAGTCAAAGGAAAAACTACCAAATCAGAAAATACAGGCAATGCATCTTCGAGATTAATGCTTCAGGAAATCTTAGGAATTGTTTCTTCCCCAACCAAATAGTGTCCAAATTCACTAGTTCTCAAGTAGGGTGCAAAAGCCTCGAAACCAGAGCAAAAAGACAGTGGAAATCATGTTGGTGAGCCTAAGCAAAATTCAGATACTATAGAAAGTGATACCCAAAGTCACGAGTACGCTATTAAGAGACGAACTACTCGTTCTTTAGCTCGAAAAAGAGCTCGTGCTAAGTTGAAATAACAAAATAGAAAGGGACCACCAGCATGTAAAGAGGACAACTTACTTCCTAAAGATTTGTTGTCTAGGACGTTACGTGATGCTAGAACTGGTAGTCCTTTGATGGTATATGGAAGGAGAGGCAAGAGGAATAGTCACCATATGGAAGCACCTAAGCTTGGCGCGCAGAACAGTGAAATGAAACATGACACAACAATAATTGTAAAAGAGTAACAGTTCCTGAGAAATTTGTATATATGTTGGTGATGGCTCTACTTTATTTCAGAAGAAAAATGACGAGATGGTCCAACCAGATGTTGGTAACCTAGAATCCCTTATTGTGGAAATGACTGAGCAGCTGAGAAATCTACAAGAACATATAGATCAACATATTCTTTTATAAAAGACGGAAGTATCAAGATATGGTTCAATATGTTATTAAGTTCACATGAAAGATACCAAAAACAAACGGACATGTCAGAATCAGCTTCCAGCATCTTGTAGGAATTCAACATCAGTTCTGACTTTTTCCATTCAAGCTTTCTATCAAAGACAGACTCATCAGCATACCCAAACAAAGCAGCCATCTTCGTAAGCCGGTATCTTCGCAGTGCTTTCTCCAAGTCCTCCAATTCATATTATCCACCAGGATTGCAGAAACAATAAATAAAATTGCATGACGTTCCACGAGAGCATGACTGTCAACACATGTGTGTAATTCATGTTAAAAGATAGAAAGTACAGAAGATCTGAATATCAGAATCAAGTAAACAATAAAGATGTTTGTTAACTAATTTACTGCCTACAAGTACTGCTGACAAAAAACAGAGAGTAACAAAGCCATTAACACAAAACTCAAGCGAGAGTAGTGAGATTCAAGTTGTACCTTAAGCTTCAATTTCATAAATTCCCCATAAATAGAAACTTTCCATTTGGTTACGCTAACAAACTCACATGTGATCTATAAACTTTCCATAAAAACTATGCAGGTATAATGAATTAAATCCCATACATGAAAATTCACATTTGGGCATTTAGTGCTAGACAAACAACTATTTTCAAGATATAAATCAATAACCCTCAAAGTTGCTAAACATAAAGCAGAAAACATAATTATAGTGAAGCTTATTAAATAGAAGCAAATTAGTAATTAGGCAAGGAACTAAGATCCAAAAAGTCCCTTTATGTCAGTTATGCTAATAGGTATATACTCTCCTAGATAATGGTAATACAGTTTCGGAGGTTTAACTTAAGATACAAAAAGTGTTACACTAAAACCACTACCATCTACTTGAAACAATTGTAAGTTGCAGGCTGAGATCAATAATCTCGAAAACACAAACTAATTTATGCAGTCAAAGAAGCACATGATATGCTATATTTTCCACTCCGTTATGTAGACATATTCAAAATATGGAACTAAGTTGGAATAGTTTGTTTGACCATTTGTCTCCACTGACCAACTCCTATGTGCATTCTCTCTACATTGTGATCATTGTCAAGCCAGAACATTCTTTTACGTCTCTAGAAAGCATCCACTACAATGTCTCCAACTGCTAAAAAGTTTATCTGAATCCCCAAAAATGCAAGATTATGTTTGCTTGTTTTAGAATTGACTGCCATACTAGGATTGGGAGGGTCAATCACTTCAGATTAGCTTTTATAACCAAAAAATGCTAGTAAACTTCTAACTTATTTCATAACTTCCTCAATTTTGTTTCACGTCACACAATGTCTATTGTACAAACATCCATTAACCTTCAATTTAACCCCATAAATAAGTAGCTACAACCAATAAAGTAAATACATTATACACAACCCACATAACTCAAACTTTATTGCTACGTAAATAAAGAGAAGAGGATGTGGAAGTACATTTGGCGCCAATTATGTGTACCTGGATTTGTTTCGCCTTTTCTTCCTCATCTTCCACTCTCCTTTGTTCTTATTCTATCTCTTGAGCTTCCTTTCGAGTCAGTGCTTCGAGAAAGAGCCTCTCTCTATCCTCAAATACAAACTTTCAGACAAATATTTCAATATTGGCTTGCTCTTCATGTACATGCTACCTTAAACTAAAAAGCAACTTTCTCTTACATAGTCATACATAATCTA